CTTCATCATTATCTTCTTCATCATCATCATCACGATCACCATCAGCATCATCGGCCTCATCCTCATCCGTCGTCATGTCACCATCACGCAATGGGCCCGACTGCCGCCCCTCTCGAGGTGAGCGGCGAGAGCAATGGGCTGCAGCCATGGACCTGGCAGGTAATATGCCCTGCCGGGATCTTCGCCTGGATGGCATCAGCGCCAACTCTCGCCTCAGCGCGCTGGCGAAGCCGCTCGAGGTTTAGATTGGCACTGGCTTTTTTGGGGTGCCTTTCCTGAGTTTTCGGCACCCTCAAACACAACAATCCTCCTTTCTCCTCTAACTCGGCAGCTCCTCTCAGTCTCAACCCTGGGTCAGATCACTTTGCAGTCGAGGAGTAGCCAGTGGCGCCGGACCATCGCAGCCTTCTCTGCCTTCGCGGCACGCGGACGAGACGTAGCCAAGGCCTTAGACTCCCGCCTCCTTCGGAGTTATGAATCCCCTTCCTTGTTCTTATCTTTCTCAGGGGAGTACCGTCAAATGGCCTGAAGGTCGAAGGCCTGAGCCTTAAACGCTGGGGGTTTAGGGTTTAGGGTTTAGGGAGGGGCAATTACCCTTCAAGCTGAGGTGTCCTTTGGGGTGTCCCTGCTGGCCTACCAGCGCGGACAGTGCTGGAGGTCCGCACTCTGCCACGCCGGTGACTGGGACTTTGCAACCCCTAAACCCTAAACCCTAAACCCTAAACCCTAAACCCTAAACCCTAAACCCTAAACCCTAAACCCTAAACCCACCCGAAACCCTAAACCCTAAATCTGAGCTTCGTTTGTATCATGAAGCTCTGTGCCGGAAGCCCTGAAGCCCTGAAGCCCCCCAAACCCTCACAAAACTCGTGGAAAGAAGATGAACAAAGCCTTTTACCCCTAAAGACCTTGGGTCCCTAAAACCCCAAGAACCCCTAAACTCGCACCCGAAACAAAGCTCTTGCAACACAAAATCCCTGAAAAGAAGCCCTCCACCCTAAGCGGTGCCAAAGCAAGGCCAGATCTGCAGCGCCGGCCTGCGGCCGAACCTCCTCACCATCACCTCGGCGCTCCGCAGCGCCGCCGGGTGGCGCCAGGTGGGGGTTTAGGGTGTAGGGTTTAGGGTGAGAGGGGGAGGGGGGTAAAGCTGAGCTTAGGGTTCAGGGCCTTTGGGCTTGAGGGCCTTCGGGGGCTTCGGGCTTGAGCTGCTGTTTTTTTTGGCGGGATGTGTGGTGTCTGGACAGCTCTCTTCTTTTTGAGCTTCTGTCCAGTTTTGGTGCCCGAATTTGAGGTTTCCCTGCATGTTTTTGCTCTGACGAGTATGGGTAACCTTTGTGAAGCCATCAGAATGGTTACAACGTGAGCAACCTGGCAGCATCCCCGCCCCTTCTGCACCCTTGACCCTCCAATGTGGCATGTCGCCACTGCCCGATCACCTGGCAAACATGCAATGAGCTGTGCCAGGAAGCCAGGAAGCAGGCGTGCATCGCAGTTTTTCATGACATAGCCATACTGCAGCAAACTAGCGACATATGAGTCCAGGCCAAACTGAGACAGATCAAGTTGGCAGAAGCACTTGTTTGCATACACTCCGCTGCACCCTGGCTTTCATTTGCCGGGCCATTGAAAGTGGTAGCTCTTGGGAGGGTCCCGGACTCAAAGCCTCCAAAAACGATCCTCAATTCTCCCTTCTTGTAGCTTGTCCAGTCGCCTCTTCTCCAGGCCCTGACCATCTTTGGGGGCCTTGCGCGCCTGAGCTTGCGGTCCTCCCTCCTCGCCTGCACCGGCGCCCTGGCGGCACTTCGGATCAAACGACGCCGAAACTCTAAACGATTCAGAGCCTCGTCCCTGCACCCCACACACCGATTTTAGACATCTCGAAGCTGCTCGAACCGGAAAACCCAGGTTTGGTGGCTTCCTGTGCCCAAACTTTGGGCTGGCAGCTGGCGGTCCAAAGCTGAGACGTCTCAGGTCTTGCAGTTTGGGGTGTAGGGTTGGGGTTTAGGGTTTAGGGTTTAGGGCTCAGGATTTAGGGTTCAGGGTAAACGGTTTAGGGGTGAGGGTTCAGCGTTTAGGGTTTAGGGTTTAGGGTTTAGGGCCTAGGGCTTAGGGTTTAGGGTTTAGGGTTTAGGGCCTTTGAGTGAATCTGGGGGCAGATTGCCAGACATTTTGAAAGTTCGGTGGGCCCTTCTCCTTGGAGAAACCTATACAGCTCATAGCAGTCGGCCTTTGTTCTCACCAGCTTGACAAAGCCCCCAATCCCATGTGGACAAGATGGAACTGGAACAGGGCCAACAAGGCCAACACAGCTCCGATTTCCTCCTCCCCCCTGCTTCTATTTGGGGGCTTCCGACACTAGGGGTACCCTGTTTGGGCGTTCCTAGAATCAGGATGTCTCGTACTTTGGGGGTATAATTAGGGGTACCCCTGCCCTCTTTCCTGCCCCTGAAACATTCGCAGACGTGCGGAAACGAGGTCGCCGCGCAGCAGGGCCTCCGAAGGGCCACGACCTTGGCTCCTTTTTCCTTTCTCTCTTGGGCTTAAGGTCTGTAGCGGGGCTCAACCCTAAACCCTAAGCCCTAAGCCCTAAACCCTAAAACCCAAAGCCTGAACCGAAACCCTAACCCGAAGGTTCTTGTGAGGGGCCTTTGAGGGCCTCGGACTTGCGAGGTTCCAGTGGTTTTGGGGGGGCGAGGAGCGTGCGACTTTGGTTTGTTTAGACGGATTCTAGGGTGTAGGGTTTGGGGTTTAGGGCTTAGGGCTTAGGGCTTAGGGTTTAGGGTGTAAAGGAGATCGCTGGTGCAGCTGGGGTGTTCCGAGTTTTGCTTCGGTGTAGCGGCAGTCAAATCTGATAGCCCACTCCAAGGCACCCCAAAGGCGGACGACCGGGAATCTAGACAGGCTTGTTCCACAGGGGCTTTAAAGGGCTAAGAGGGAGTTTCGGGTTTAGGGTTTCGGGTTAGGGCTTAGGTGGGAACGAACATCGACGGCATCTTTGCCTGCTCCCTCCTGGAGACCCTCGAGGTTCGGGGCCCGACTCAGACGCTAGGTTGATATTAAACCATAGGAATCTCCAAATCTTAGGAGTTCATCCAGAGACATATGCGGTTCATGACACGCATGTCTTGACAAATCTCTTAGCGAACCCGAGGTGATGACGATTGTATTCGGTACGAACCAACAGATGATCCAATTGTTGATTACCCAACAGATGAACCAACAGATGTTCCAGCAGCCAAGCGACGTCGGTCAAGAACAATTGATCGGCGAACCTCTGCACGTTGCAGTATCTGTTCCATCATAGATTCAGCAATTGCGCAAACCTCCTCATCCGCTTTTGCCACTTCAGTTGCGACCCTTTTGTTTGTTTCTTTCTTCCGTCAGCTGCTCGGAGGAAACGCCCCAAAAGGCTCTGTAAACACTGCAAATCCTATAGCCGTGTAATCCCCATAAACCCTCCATTGAAGCCCACAAACCCTGTAAGGCCTGGAACAGAGGTTGGGGTGTAGGATGTCAGGGTTTAGGATGCGTAGCTTGAGGGCTTGTTGAAGCTTGGGCGTGACCCTTCAGGGTTTCGGGTTCAGGTTGATATCACCCCCGAAAAAAAAGTCATGTTCTTTCTAGCCCCAAAAAATCGGACCCCATTCCTCATCTCCAAGCACGGGCCAACTTTGAGCAAGCAGTTCCTGCTGGCCTCACCTCGCCTTCAGAGCAGAATCCAGTAATCCCAAAACCCGAAAGCCGTTCACCCCTCCACAGTTTCTACGGTCCTCCAGCAGAAGCCCCTCTTCCAGACCCGAGACGTCAGCGTCATCACCCGAAATCCTCTCTGCAAAGCAAGAACCGTAAACCCTCAACCCTCAACCCTATCCCTCAACCCTAAGCCACCCTGAACTGTGGACCTTGCCAAAGGCTCTGAGCCCAGAGAAGGGTTTGCTCCAAATTGAGGTTTTTGTAGAGGATTCCTGATCAAGAGTCCCCCCCCCACAAAGGCAGAGCCCAAACCAAACTAAGCCCTTCAACCCGAAACCCCAAGCCCCAAACCCAAAAACACCAAGCCCTAAACCCCCAAATGGACCTAGTTTTGATAGCGATGCTCCTTCTTGGCTTTTGACAGGAGGCCAACCGCTGGCGGCTGGGAGTTGCACTTGCTGCACACCTCTCGAAGGCCCATTTTTGTCGAAAGTGCAGGGCTTGCGAGGGCCTCTTGGGGTGCTCTATGTTTGGTAGGCTTCTACATTTCGGCTCACAGGAGTTTGAGGTCGAGGGCTTATTCTTATCAGGGTATACCAAATGTCTTCACTCCCCTTCGAAGCGCCAGCAAGTTGAGAGCAAGTTCTCTATGCGGCCCCCAAGCGCACCCGAGATTTGAAGTCCTAAACTCTACAAACCTCTTCCCGAACACCCCATAGAAGCCTAAGCAGAGGAGGTCCGGAGCAACGAGTTCATCCACACCGCCCTGGTGTCCGCCCGCGGCAAGGTCGGGCACTGGCGGCCGGCCCTGGCGCTGCGGGAGGCAGGGCTCGCCCACAAGAGCAGCCCGATGCCCCACAGGGCCCCCCCCCCCCCCCCCACCTTGAGGTAATGAAGGTTCCGTATGCTGAAGTTATTTGAGCTTAAGGGCCCTATACAGATGAAAGCTTGAGACGCGCGGCGAGGCCTGGTTCGCGAAGGAGGCCCAGCCCAAGGCTGCTTTGCGGGCATTTGTGGGGCATCTCGTTCTTCTGCTTTCCCCTTGGGGCCGAAAAGCTGCCTTGGACACGAAATGGAAAAATCTCTGCCCGATTCCCTTTGTCGGGGCCTTTCTTGCGAGGTGGCTTTGGAGAACGCGGCGCTGAGCGCCTGCGCCGCAGCCGGAGGCCTCGGCTGGCAGCGGGCCGGGGAGCTCTTGGCCGGCGCTGTGGCTCTGGGGGTGGAGGCCCGTGGCATCCCGCGGGCTTCGCATTTGGCGCTGCGCGACCCGTTTTTTGTTTTTGTTTGGTTTGGGGGGGGGGGGGGGGGGTTAGCTGCAGCTTTTGGGGCATCTGGTCAGGATGTGGGCGCATGCGTGGTTCTTTGCCAAGCATGTGTGCTGCGCAGGCATCCCAAAGCGTAGCTTCTCCCACCCTCACGCCACACAAGACAGCTGGCATTGAGTCATTGAGTTGTGCGGTATTGGACGCCACTACTTAAGCGGTAAGTTGTCGAGTCGTGCCCCTCTGATCTACGCCCCCATGCCTCACGCAGATACCAGCAAATCACAGGCAACAAATCGTACATCTTGACGTGTCGCACATAGCTACCAGCAAATCACAAGCAACAAATCGTACTTCTTGCATGCCGGAGTGAAAGTTGAATTTTCGTTCTTGGTCTACAAGCATCCTTCTTCTTCTTCTTCTTGACTCTTGGTGCGAATTCACCAAGGCTGAGCCTATGAACCCGAAACCCGAAACCCTAAACCCTAAAACCGCTTACCCCAAACCCTAGATCCTAAATCCTAATCGCTGAACTGTTTCCTGGAGCTAGGCCACCTCGGTGTCCTTCGGCGCCCTGGCCGACGCCTACGCCAAGGGCGGGGCCTGGACAAATGCATTGCAGTGGCTGAGGCAGTTCGCCGCACGCGGCCAGGCGTTTAAAGTGGCATACCTCTTTAAAGGGTTAGACCCTAAGAAGGGTACAGCCGGAAACCTCCGCCTTCAAGCCATCGCCTGCAAGGCCGTTTTGCCCTAAACCCTGAACCCCAAACCCGAACCCCACTCCTGCAGCGAACCGAACAGCCTCAGACCTCATCCTCTTGTCCAGGGGGGAACGGCAGCAGACGGCATGAGCTCTACATAAACAAACGGCTCAACCACATAGTTCCGAGCCTGTTCCGAATTCGATTGGCTGGAAGCCTTGAGCCCCAAAACCTCGAGTCCCCCACATCCCCTCGAGGCCCAGCCCTCCAAGCCCAGGCTCCCTGCGGCCCGAGAGCATCGCCGGCTGCGCCACCTTGCACGGCCTGGAGAAGTGCAGCCAGTGGCTGCACTCCCTGCAGCTTCTTCATTTCCTGCGCCTGGGCTCCCAAAAGTAGGTTCTCATTTCTTTCTTTTTATCGGAGCCGCGGTAGCATTTTGAAGCAAGCTCCCTTGCAAGCGGCCGATGGCTGATCTTCCTTGAGCTCCCCCCATGTTTTCAAAGTCCGTGCGGATACCCTGAAGCGCCCTGCCCTCTGCCCTGATCCCCACCCCGGATCCCTTCGCAAAACATTGCGCGTGGCACCGGCGCCCACTAAACTCCGGCGCAACCTCGCAAAGCCGTCTTGAAACATTCATCCCGCCCTGCGCTGCCCCTGAAATCCCTGAGCCTCGAATGGGGGTCTCCCAAATTAGGGGTACCTTGTTGGGGTCCCTTTGATAGGGGAATCCTGGTCTATTTTAGGGGTCCCCTTATTCTCGTAAACCCCCGAATCTCGCCCAGGAGGGAGAGCCATGAGTGCGACCAGTCGGCTTATGACTCCGCGGTGGTCGCCTGCGAGAAGGGTGAGCCAGGAAGCTGGCTGTAAGCGTCTTTAGGGCGGCGGCTTGGGGCACTTCTTTGTGCAGGGTTGAGTCGTTTTTTTCGTTTTTTTGTACAGGGGGTTCTGGAGTGTCTCTTGTGCAGCTGAGCAGCATGGTGGGGGGAAGTGTGGAGCTGTGCAGATGCGGAGGCAACACATCGAAAAGCCGACAGGTTTTCCGCTCTTATTCCGAGGTTGTTATTTAACATACAGGGTGCCTCGTTTAGAAGTTCTTGTATTAAGGAGTTATCGTATTTTGGGGTATGCAGGGGGGGGGGGTACCTCCATTGCCGGAAAGGCCCAGAACGTACCATCATGAGACAAGCGAAAGCAACTATGAAGGCAGTTGGGGAGAAGCCATGTTCTGACTTGACAATCAGGTGCCTTTCCCTTCAGCCGTTTCGCAACGTCGTGTGGCGTCCTGTCGGGCTCAAGCTTTCTGCTGCAGCTGACGCAAACCTGCCCTGACCGCCTAGCCTCACCTCGAAAGTCGTGCAAAACGCCATGGCAAAGTGGGTCTACAACTTCGGTGCCGGAGATGCAGATGGCCGCGCGGAGATGAAGAACCTGGGCAGTGCACAGTACAGGTCTCGAAAGGATTCTGCGGGCAGGGCATTCCCCATTCTTCACATGCCCATGCTGCGGATGAATGCCACTGTACCATACTGTGCCCAGTTATAATGGAAAGCAGGAAACCATTAGACTGGCAGTTTGAGAGACCCAGCGCCCTGAACCCAGACCTTGTATCCTGAACCCACAACCTCCTGAATCCTTGATACTGCCACACGACAACCCAAACTCTAAACCCTAAACCCCAAACCCCAAAACCCTAAAACCCCTAAAACCTAAACCCTTAAACCCTAAACCCTAAACCCCAAACCCTGCTCCTTGAACCCCCTCAAAGGCACCTTCACTCCCAAGAGCTCCCCGCGGAGAGCCCAGGAACTTGCTCGGCGGCAAGGGCGCCAACCTGGCGGAGATGGCCTCCATCGGACTCCCGGTGCCGCCGGGCTTCACCTTGACCACCGAGGTGGGGGGCGGGAGGGTGGCTTCTCCGTATAGGGTTTAGGGTTTAGGGTTGAGGGTTTAGGGTTTAGGGTTCAGGGTTCAGGGTTTAGGGTTTAGGGTTAGGCTTTGGTGGTCCCTATTCGAGGGCAGGTGCTTTCAGGGGAATGGAGGTGACGGGTTGTGTTTTTTCCAGGTTTCTAGGTGATTCTGTAGCGATCATCATGAAGGGTATCACACGCTTCTCGAGGGTAATTGTAAGACTTTGCAACCAGGTGTGCGCCAGCTTCTATGAGAAGAACTGCACCTACCCCAAAGAGCTCGCGGATCAAGTGGCCCAGTCTCTGGCCCTTGTGGAGGCCGCCCGCTCGCAGTCTCCATTGTCTTGTCCAGTAGAAATGCTGGAAGCGAATGGGCATGACCCGAAACTTGTAACAACCATGGTGCAGAGCACAGATGATCCCTGGGAAAGGCCCGCACGGGACGGAAGTTTGGCGACGCTTCGAACCCGCTGCTGGTGTCGGTGCGATCCGGAGCTCGTGCATCCATGCCTGGCATGATGGATACGGTGCCCCGCCTGCGTGAGAAGCCACACGAGTCTCCGCTCCAGGTTCCGTTTGATATGTCATGTCATCCACAGGGTCACATGCAAATGAAACGGAGCAGCGCGCGCCCCCCAAATTTTCCTGACGCCGCACAAGTTGAGCGCATGGAGCTGAGCTCCTCAAACCCTAAACCCTAAACCCTGACCCCTAAACCAAAAACCCGAAACCCCAAACCCTACACCCTAAACCCTAAGCCAAGGTGCTGAATCTGGGCCTCAACGATCAAACGGTCGAAGCCTTGGCCAAGCAGGCCAACGACCGCCGCTTCGCCTTTGACAGCTATCGGAGGCGTCGGCTTGAGCATCATGTTACAATGGCTTAAAGGTTTGGGGTTTCCCTGCTTTCAAGCAGGGGCGGCAAAAAAACCCACAGGTTTGTGCAGATGTACTCGGATGTGGTTCTGGGTATGGAGCTGCACAACTTCGAGAAGCTGCTGGAGCCTGGGTTGCGGACAACAGAACGAAGCTGTTGGTAAGCACCACAAAGAGAGAGCTGTCATATCAAGGGCACGATCTCGTTCGCTTTAAGGGACGGAGCTCAGGAGCGGGCCAAGCAGCGCCGTGGTGTCAAGAACGACCACGAGCTTCTGCCGGAGGATTTGGAGAGGCTGGTGAAGGACTCTTGGCTTTCCACCAAGTGTCCAAGTCTAGCACGTCTGAGCCAACTACACCAGGTACAAAAACAGCAACCTGAAGTCTCTAAAGTCAGCTCAGCATTGCCAGTGTAACCGCGGCAAAAAAAGTTCAAAAAAAAGCCAGCCGAGGACTACAAGGCCACGGTGCAGCTGGAGATGGGCGAGAGCTTCCCGGAGGACCCGCAGGAGCAGCTCTGGGGTGCCATCGGGGCCGTCTTCAACTCCTGGATGAACCAGCGTGCCAAGACCTACAGGCACTTTTGCGGGGGGGAGGGGGGGATGTAAGTCTGGCCGTGCTTTGATGGCTCTTAGCTGTGCGAGCAAAAAGCAGTCGCAACTTGCAACAGATAGCAATCTCAGCAGTAACATCATTGCCAGAGTTTGTCGCGTCGTGTTGTTATCTTTGTTTTGCGCTGCCCGCCGCATCTGCAAGGCAGCTCCACGACATTCCAGAGTCCTGGGGAACGGCAGTGAACGTGCAGGCCCAGCTAGCCCCCCATCGTTTTGCATGGAGTCTGACAGGGTAGCTTCAGATGTTTAGGGGGTTTAGCTTCAAACCCGTAAGTGTGCTGGCATCAAGTAGCTACAATTTTCTCGTCCCACTCGGAATATTCCGAAAACTTGGGCCCTTACTCAGAGAGATTTGTTTGCCTTAACTTGGTAAAGGAGTCAGAATATTCGAAAGCATGATCACCATGGAACAAGGGCCATTTTCTTGGATCCCTTGCTGTCTCTTTGGCCTTTGATTCTGCAGATCTTGCTCTCCTCATCTTCGAAAGTCTTGGGCATGCCCTTCTTAGGCACATCTGGCCGCTGCGGAAAGTATGGTGGTTTAGGGTTTAGGGTTTAGGGTTTAGGGTTTAGGGTTTAGGGTTTAGGGTTTAGGGTGTCTTCAGACTCGGTACCTCCAGCTTGCAGGCGATGCTGTCCTTGCTCCTTGTGTCGCTCCTGCAGGGGCTTGTTGCCGTTGTTCTCCTCATCTTAACATCGGAAATCGTTTTCAAGGTGCAAAGGTTTTTGACATACGTTGATGACAGAGAACCTTCTCCTTTCAACATGCAGATGAGCACCTGGCCATTGCGAACGCTTGGTGCGTGTGGAGCAGCTTCCTGCGTGTGCACGGCAATGATCGTGAAACCGAGTTTACGTCTGCGCGCAAGGGTAGCTTTGTCTCTCTCACCGTGGCCTGTGCAAAGATTCCCCCGAAGCATAAGGTGAAGGTTCTGGATGCAGCCGTCAACATGCGAGCGATCGCACGATCACGCACGGATAGCATCCCCTGATGTTGCCTGCTTCTGTTCTGGTGCTTCGTTCCACTGCAAGAAACACTGGTGGCTTCTGGAACTTGACGTCCGGCTTTGCAGCGTGTCTCCGACACCTCGGAACCACTCCACCGCAGCTGCCAGCAATTCGACACAGCTGCCGACGTGCTGCACAATGGAGTGCTTGCCGTAGCGCCCCGAAAGCCATTGTCTCTTGTCCGTTCTTCGACAGATCGCCGGCCTTGATCATGTTACGCGGTCGCGTGGCCACCGCCTTATAGAGGGTGGCAATCTCGCGCCTGCAACGCCTGCTCGCCCCCTCTGCAGAAAAAACTGGCCTGGCCCTTTGCGGAATCCTCCTATTTCCCATGATCGTCGAGTGCTCAGTTCACTGGGTCCGGAAAGTGCCTGTTCTTCGATGGGATGAATCCTCTTCCTCAGTTGTCCGGGACGTAAACCGTTTCCCCTCTGTCTTAGTTTTCTGGTCGAGTTCCCCTCCATGGATGACCCTGTACGCGCGCGCGAGCCGCAGAGTAGAGCATGCATGGCTTGTTCAGTGGGTGATGTGAGAGTCGCCCCTCCTCGTGGTGGAGCCTGCGCCCTTCTCTCCTGGGAAGTTTGTTGAGTAGGTGGCTTCGTCAACGATGCGTTAAGCCTGTTAAGTGTGTCGAGGCAATGGTCTTCGGCAACATGGGCAATGACTGCGCGACGGGCGTGGCCTTTACCAGGATGGGGGGTGGGGTTGATCTGTTTTCGTCTGGCTAGTTTACTACCAGTAGCAGACCCTCCTGACAAATCGCTCGTGCCCCCGGCAAATGGAGCTCTTGCGCCAAGCTGATTCCCCATGTTGTGCTTCTGATTCGAGTCAGGAACCCATCAAACGGCGCGAACGACTTCTACGGTGAGTTCCTGGTGAACGCGCAGGGTGAGGACGTTGTGGCCGGGATCCGCACGCCCCAAGAGCTGACGATCAAGGCACGCAAGTCCCACGGCAGCGACCTTCCATCTTTGGAAGAAGTGATGCCCGGCATCTTCAAAGAGCTGAGCACCGTGCGGAAGCAGCTGGAGGCACATTACACCGACATGCAGGACAGGACTTGCTTTGCCCGGCATCCTGCTTGCCTCCCATCTTGCTGGCACGTGGCATGGGTCCTGCCTGTAGGACATCGAGTTTACCATCCAACAAGGCAAGATACATGTTTGTCATTCGCACGTTGTAGACACCCGTGTTGCAGTGCACTTTTCGTTGCTTCAAGTGTCGACGTGTATGTAAACATGAAAGATCGACAGGCAAGCTCTACATGCTCCAGACGCGGACCGGCAAGAGAACCGCACACGCAGCCTTGCAGATCGCTGTGGACATGGCCAACGAAGGTGGGCGGGCCGAGCCATTGCAGGGCGATTTTGCTGTAGACATTATAGTGTTCCCGTCACGGTGCCCGTTGCCTGGAAGCTCGTGTCATGTTAAATTTCTGCCGCCCAGCGAAGGTCTGATCTCCAAGTCTCAAGCTTTGATGCGCCTGAAGCCGGATTTGATCGATCAGCTATTACACCCGACGCTGGACCCCAAAGCCAAGAAGCAGGTGGGCTTGTGTAAATGCTGGACAGAAGCGATACAAAGGAAAAGCATGGCAGAACGACAAAATGAAATCGGCAAGTTTATGGTGTCAGAACCTAACTTCGTGAGCCAGGATCCATGTCCACATACTTGTAAGACGAAGTGCTGGTAAGTTGCGAAGACAGCTTCATACCCGGACCCCTAAACTCCAAAGAAAGACCATCGCTTCACACGACGTAAGTTTGCATGTTCAGCGCTAAGTTTCCACGAACTAGCATTGCCGGCAGTACTGTTCAGCTGGGAAAACGATACATAAAGAAGAAGCCGATGATGCGAGTTGAGGCCAAGGAAATCGATACGGAGTTGTCACGCATCCCCAGGTGATCGCCAAGGGCCTCCCCGCCTCACCTGGTGCGGCGGTCGGCAAGGTGGTCTTCACAGCCGACGAGGCCGTGAGGCGTTCCAAGGATGGCGAGAAGGTGTTGCTGGTGCGGATCGAGACGAGCCCCGATGACATCCACGGACTGCACGCAGCCGAGGGAGTGCTGACCACCCGAGGAGGCGCGCCGGTGTGTGATCTCAGCGGGTCTCCTTCCCCTGCCATACCCGCAGCAGCTCTCCTCTCCATGATCCCCCCCACATTTAAAAGGCAAGGTGTGCTGCGCATGCGCGCCCGAGGCATGACAAGCCACGCAGCCGTGGTGGCACGTGGCATGGGCCGCCCCTGTGTGGCTGGGGCTGGTGATGTGCGGGTGGACTATGCGGCCAACAAGTTCAGCGTCGGGGGCGTCACCGTTCAGGAGGGGCAGCTCCTGACCATCGATGGAGTTTCAGGGGAGGTCATTTTGGGAGAAGTGCCCACGGTGGCACCCCAACTCTCCGGCTCCTTCGGCACCATCATGTCATGGGCGGATGACTTCCGCAGCTTGCAGGTCAGGGCCAACGCAGAGACGCCAGCGGATGCACGACAGGCCAAGTCCTTCGGCGCCCAGGGCATTGGCCTGGTGAGAACGGAGCACATGTTCTTCGAAGGTGGCCGGATAGTGTCCCGCCTGCAACTGCTGTAGTTGTTGGTGACTACCGGGGTTCAGTCCTGATGGCACTCTGTGCTTTTGATTTTGACACACGGCGATGCCCTTTTCATGTGTCATGGCGCACGCGTGGCCTTCGGGAGTTTCGGTAGTGACTTCTCAAAGCTTGCAGCGTGCGGGGTTTTCCATTCCAGCACAGGTGGCCATGCGACAGATGATCCTGGCCGCGGACGAGAACGATCGCAAAGCGGCACTGGACAAGCTGCTTGTGATGCAGCGGGAGGACGAATCTTCGTAATCCGGGGGCCCGGAGCAGTTGGCAGTTGGCAGGCATAAGTAGGGCCCACAGCTGCGTAGTGACTTCACGTGAAGCGTGGTTTCGGGACTGCAGCTTTGTCTGCATCCTTCATATGGAGACATCTGGTAGCATTCCAGGACATCGTGGAACTTTTTCGGATCATGGATGGCCTGCCTGTAACGGTGCGTCTGCTGGACCCGCCCCTGCACGAGTTCATCCCCCACAGCGAGTCGGAGATGGCCTCCGTTGCCCGCGCAGCCGGTGTGCCGCTGGAGCGCGTTCGGCGCCGCGCCACCGAGCTGAAGGAGGCCAACTCCGACTCAATCATTGTCAGTTGATATGAGTGATTCGAAATGGTAAGTGGTCGTCCTATTGCTGTTGTTGTCGAAGCATCGCCGTCTGCATCGACGTCGTCGTCGTAATTTTTTCTGCTTCTCTTCTCATGATCTTTGTAGTCCTTCGAGAGAGGCCAACCCCATGCTTGGCCATCGCGGCTGCCGGCTGGCCATCACTTATCCGGAGATCTGCGAAATGCAGACCCGTGCTATCTTGGAGGCTGCCGCTGAGGTGGGACGTAGCACCAGCAAGCAGCCCGTGGCAGAGATTATGGTGCCACTGGTCTCTACACTGGAGGAGTTCGCACTCCTGAAGTCTGTGATCGAGAAAACGGCGGCCGCAGTGCAGAAGGAGCAGGGCGTGACCTTGAAGTACCACGTGGGCACCATGATCGAGCTGCCCCGTGCCTGTTTGCAGGCAGGCAAGCTGGCTGAGCAGGCCGAATTCTTTAGCTTTGGTACCAATGACCTGACCCAAACAACTTACGGTCTCAGTCGTGACGACGCTGGCTCCTTCTTGCCGGATTACAAAGAGAAGGGCATCGTAGAGCAGGACATACTCTTCCATAGATTGTGTCAGTATTTCCTATCTTGAAAGAAGAGAAACATCATCGCTCGGAATCAACCCTGCACCCCCAAATTTGGACTGAGAGGACCCCTTCGTCAGCCTGGACCAGGCAGGCGTCGGGGAGCTCATCAACATGGCCGTGGGGCGTGGGCGCACTGCACGCCAGGGCATGAAGATGGGAATCTGCGGCGAGCACGGAGGTGACCCTGCCTCCATCGAGTTCTGCAACAAAGCCGGCCTTGACTACGTGAGCTGCTCACCCTTCCGTGTGCCCGTGGCGCGGCTGGCTGCAGCGCAGGCCGCTCTCAAGGACAAGGGCGAGAAGGCCCTGCAGGCCTCCACGAAGGCCACCAAGCCTAGGAACCCGGCCTTCGGCCCATGGTGAGCGGGGCGTCGATGTTTGCAAGCAGCATGTTAGGTTTTTTTTTCTGCGGATGCAGATGATTCTTGGACCCTCTGCTGAAAATCCATGGCACAGAATGGATGGAAGCATGGTCGGGCACTCTTGCCTTAGTTTTGGGCTGTGGCATGCGATGCACCGCGGTTCCACAGCAGATGGCTCGCCCAATAGTGGCAGGAGTCATCTTGGGCATTCAGCCAACGTTTAACCGTTTAAACACAGTTTTCGGCACAATCTTTGAAGTCGTTGTGCCGGCTGCCTCAAAGCCTTGCAAGCCAAGACAGCACCTGCGAACATTGCATTGTGGCAAAATGTCGGTGCTTGTTTGTCCGGTCCGAGCTCGGCACAGATGCTGCTTGCATGGCGACCAGATGCGTGTTGAGGTCGGTCACTCTCTCTTACCCTCTCGGGTATTGGATTGGCTTTGGCATGTTCCCGCCTGAGCCTTGAGTGCAGGGCAACTATACTAGTTACTAGTTACTAGTAAGATCTGGTTTTTGGGGGGGGTTAATCTGAACTATTGGCCCCTTTTGCTACCCTGCACTCCCCAAAGTCTCAACAAGTTCACGCTCATGGAAGGGCTTGGTACCCTAAGCTCCCCCTTTAATTTTCCAAGATGTCGCTTCGCACCGCTTCGCACCAGGTAGTTTGCGAGGAGGATCTAGAGAAGGTTGCTTCGAAAGCTCCTCGGGCCGTCGTGCTGATTCCCGACCTGGCCGATGAGGACAGCCCAGAAGGCTGGCAGGTCTTGGGGGAGACCCCGCAGAGGGTGGAAGCGTCTGTGCGTGAAATGCTGGAGAAGGCGCTGCACGACCTGCAGCACGAGATCCCCGAGGAGTTTCGGGAGCACCCAGCCGTGAAAGAGCAATGTTCGAAGTTGCGAGACTTACTCAGTGCTCGCCAGCCTTTTAGCCTCCAACTCCGAGACGTGGCTTCCCACGAGGAGAGCACGGGCAGCATGGAGGGCACCTTTGAGGGCTCTGAGCGAATCCCAACCTGGGTAGAGGCCTTCCTTGAGGGCCACGACCTCGAAGACCACGGGGCATCCGAGTGGAAGGACGCGATCCAGGCCGTGCCTTCGCGCGCGCTTGCGGCAGAGTTGGGCTCTGCTTCATCGCTGAAGCGCTGCGTCATTGCGCCGGGAAACGGGTGTTCGCCGATTCAGGAGGCGAATTGGTATGCCTGGTTGGCAAGCAGCCTGAAACGCAGCCGCACGTTCGAAGAGGTTCACCTGCGGGACTTTCCCGACCCTGATGAGGCGAAGCGTGAGATATGGGTGAAATTCCTGCAAGAGGATCTTGCAGTCGGACCCGATACAGTACTTGTGGGGCATTCCAGTGGTGCCCAAGCAGCCATGCGATTTGCAGAGCAAGAGGTCGTTGGTGGTTTGGTGCTTGTGGCTGCCTGTCATAGTGACTTGGGTGATGCGCTCGAGCGTGCCTCTGGATACTACCCTCCGAGAGGAGGGCCGTGGAACTGGGCCGCCATCAGAAGAAACACCGGCTGGATTGTCCAATTTCATTCCGAAGATGATCCCCTGGTTCCTGTGTCAGAAGGGCGTGCAGTGGCTCAGGAGCTTCAAAGTGAGTATATCGAGTTGAAGGGGCGCTCCCATTTCTTTGAGCCCTGTGAGGAACTCTTGGAGGTCCTATGTTCCAAGATGACGCGAGGCTGACGCGAAGAGATCCCTGCCGGAATGCAAACGCGGGCAGCGGCAAGAAGATTGACACGACACGCCGCGATGCCACAACCCCCCGCATGTACGTCGACAGAAAGATTTCTGATCTGCTTGCTGGCTACGAGCCAAGCCGAGCCTTGTTCTTGCAAAAGGTGCATGGCTTGTTTTGTCATCAGAGAAAATGATCTGGCGAGGGGTGTGAAAACCGTGAAAGTCTCCCGTTTGCTGGGTTGCCTTTTGCGCTCTTACAGCTCACTACTTGAACGCCTGTCAAGGTGGTCAAGGCCAGGGAGGGGAAGTTTTTGTGCTTCGCTTTTGCGGTGCATCGCGCCGGCTCTTCTTTGCAGAGAGGGGGAGGGGGGGTGAGGGTTGCCTGCCCTGCGGCGCCCTGGCGCAGCGATACACATTTTGCCTTCATGCCTCGCAGCACGTTGCGACTTTTTCGTTTGTTGTTCTTGCTGCGCCGCCCTCAGAAGTAGGGAGGTGCTGAAGCCACCTCAGGGTAGTCTGATTCTGCACCGCCCTCAGCAGTAAGATGGGATACAGAGTGTTCGCTGCTGTTGGGGGACGTGACCAGCTACTCGACCTTCTAGCGCCACGCAGCCCTTCAGCCATCAAGAAGTATACTGTATACTTTCATGGAAACATTGCAAGAAGGCCCCCATGATGTAGATCCCCCCCCCCCTCCCTCGAACTCCAGAATTTCTTGAACAACGGTAGACTGAAGCCCCGCGAAAGGACACTTGACTTCGGTTTGCGAAAAAGGGCCCAGAGTTCTCGAATGGGTCAACTCAGTCGCGTGACATCTTCGGCTGTGGGTTTCGGGAGATCGAAGCAGAGAAACCTCGGGTTGTAGCGCGCTTGCCTGAACCCTGAACTTGGGTGTGCCATGCGGCGATTGTGCCAGCCGCGGCTGCTCGCCACAGTCGGCCGCGCCGCTTGGCATACGAGTACATGTCGGTTTAGGGTTTAGGGTTTAGGGTTTAGGGTTTAGAGGGTTTAGGACCAGGCTAAGGGTCTTCAACTTGCACAGCGACTTCTCAGACCAGCACTCAAACCCGAACAGAACCCAGGTTGCCCTGGCGTAGAATCAGGTCTAACTTGAGAGGCCCCCCAAGGGCCCTCAAAGCACTCGGGGTTGGGATGTTCTCCCCTTATACTAACAGTCCTTAATCGGGATCCCGATTACAATCCCTACAAAGGACTGTTAGGATAAAGGGGGGAACATCCCAAACTAGGGGTTTCAAGGAACTTTTGTGATGCTTCGAGCCGAAACCCGAAACAACCCTAGACCCTGAACCCTAAACAACCCTAAACCCTGAACCCTAAACCCTAAACCCGAAACCCTCAACCCGAAACCCTAAACCCTAAACCCTAAACCCAGGATCTGTCTGTCGGCTGCAATCCCAGCTCTTGAGGCCTCTCGGCCCTTCTGCCGACCCTTGCGCTGTGAATGGTCGAGGCCTCTGGAGGGTTTAGGGTTTAGGGTTTAGGGTTAGGGTTTAGGGTTTAGGGTTTAGGGTTTAGGGTTTAGGGTTAGGGTTTAGGGTTTAGGGTTTAGGGTTTAGGGTTTAGGGTGTAGGGGTTTAGGGTTTAGGATTTAGGATTTAGGGTTAGGGTTTCAGGTTGAGGGCTTCTGGGTTAAAGGGTCAGGGATGATTGGGGTGTGCCTGTAGATACACTGTGGATGGCCATGCCTGTCGTTTCGTTTGGAGCACTGGTTTGGGGTTTAGGGTTTAGGGTTTAGGGTTTCGAGGCTTGGGGGACTCTTGGGTTTGGTCTTGTGCTAGGGTCGAGCCATCGAGAATCTCATGCTTCTCGTCAGTGTTGCGCGAAGCTGAACCCCTCGTACTACCAGTAGCAGACTCCAAGCTTAAACAGCCCGTGAAGAGCAAAACGCCTGCAAAATCTGCCAGGGCCTTCTCAGCGCCGACAGGCGCGCACAGGGCCCCTGTTTCGGGACTAGGGCCTAGAGGGGCGTGCAGCCCCATAAGATGGAAGCTCACAACATGGAAGCGTGGCGGGGGTTGCGGCGTGCCCGTGTTGAGGCCCCGGAGTTAGGGGTGTGTTGGGCTGCTGCGAATTGCGGAGTTGCGAAGCTTCTTCCGCCTGCAGGAGTAAGTGCCATGGGGTCATGTACAACTTCAAAGTTTCTGCGACCCTCAACCCCAAACATGGCATGGATCCTTGAATTGGAGCCCAACAACAAAGTGTCCTCCAGGCGGCCCCTACCAGGAGGATCGAGACCAAGCCCGGGCGTTCGTGATCGAACGTGCGGGGCCAACTTCCTTCGGGGGGGGTTTGGGGTTTAGGGTTTAGGGTTTAGGGTTTAGGGTTTAGGGGGGGGGGGTTGGGGCAGTAGTATTAGCTGTGGCTTCTGCCCGTTGAGCAAACCCTGCAAACCCCCTGTAAGCCCAATCAACCCCTGTAAAACCTGCAACACCCCCATAAACCCCCGTAACCCCAAACCCTAAACCCTAAACCCTAAACCCGAAACCCGAAACCCTAAACCCTAAACCCTAAACCCCAATATTCCTGGAGCACTTGTGCCCCATCCTTTGCCGAGCCGAGGTGGCTACTCGCCCGAAATTGCCGACGGCGTTCTTGCAGCCCTGGTCTCCCCAGGCCCTCGTAGGGTTTATAGGGGTTCCGTAGGAGTTTTAGAGGGTTTTCTGTGAGTTTTATCGGGTCTTACAGGGTCTTTAGAGGGTTCATAGGGTTTTATGCGGGTTTTCTCGGGCTTATGGTGTCTAAATGGTGTTCTATAGGTTTTTTGTGTTTTTGGTTCATGGGGTTTTTTAGGGGCTTACGTTATACGGGGATAATACGGTTAACCCCCTCAGAGATCAGGTTTACGGGGGCATCAGCGGCAAGGCTTTGGGCCGAGGTCCAAGAGCCTTGAGGGGTTTAGGGTTTAGGGTTCAGGGTTTACTCCGCTTTCCTCAACTGAGCGGGGGGGCTCTCGAGTCATGTGCAGGGAACCTACCGACTGCTGCTGAAACCATAACTTTTCTTAAGCCCAAACCCTTAGCCCCTAAACCACTAAACCTCACTAAACTCACTAAACCTAAACCCTAATAGGCCATGAAACCCTGAACCCCAAAGCCAGCATCCAGGTTCTGGCATCTTCCCGGGAAAGCTGTTGGCGGCCGTGAAGAATTTGGCAGGGCGCTGGGAGGCGCCCAAGATTCCCATGCCCTGAAAACCCGAAACCCTGAGCCCGAAAATCCGTAAACCTTAGAACCCCGATAAACCCTGGAACTCCTATAATCCCAATAATCCCTATATCCCCTATAAACCCTGTAAACCCTACAACCACTACAAACCCTAAACCCTCAACCCTACACTCCCAAGAAGCCCCTATAAACCCTACAATCCCTTTCAGCCCCTAAACCCTGAACCGTAGAAACCCTAACAGCCCTAGAAAGTCCGAATCCCCAAGAAGCCTGGCTTCCAGGTCGGCGAAGACATGGGCCTGCACGCCTTGGCCAAGAGCGTTGAGCTGGAGCTTTTTTTCGGCGGGTTTGGGTTTAGGGTTTAGGGTTTAGAGTTTAGGGTTTGGGGTTTGGGGTTGGGGGTTTAGGGTTGAGGGTTTAGGGGTTAGGGTTGGGGGTTTTGGGGTTGGTGGCGGTGGCTTTGGGCGGAAGAGGGTTTAGGGGTGCATAAGGGTGTCTCGGGGGCAAATGCGGGTTTATGAGGGTTTTCAAATGTTTACAAGGGTTTATGAGGCTGTACAGGGGTTCAGTAGGGTTTACTCGGCTTCACTCATAAGGGCTTGCAAGGTTTCTTTCACTTGAGTTGATAAAGGAAGGTCTCGAGTATGTAAAATAGTCTCAACAAGGTTAGTGAGTGAGAAAAAGTGGAAGCAGAGGAGGTGCCCCTGATGAAAACGACAAGTTTAACACCAACTCACAAGATGGCGAAGGTGTTGATAAGGTCGGTGCCTGCTGGATGGGGATCCCGCAGACCCACCCCAGAAGAGAGGTTCGAAATAATCGAGGATGTTGCAAGGATAGACAAGGATGTAAGCATCTTAAAGGCTACCGTTAATGTGATGGGTGAACGTTTAAACAGTAAAACCTAATTGAGAGCTTGACAGACCACCCGTGACATATGAAACAACGTCCGCAAAGGAAACAGAATAAGGAAGTGAGCTCCATGCCAAATGTGCTTGCAATAATCTGCAGGTTCATAAGCGCACCAGAAGAGTGTGGAGATGATATTAATTCGTAGATAGTTTCGTTGAATGTTAAATCTTAGTTGGTAGACTTCTTCTCGTTACATTAATAAATTCACCTTGACTTGTTCTGAACGCTTAGATGCTGGGTGGGATGCACACGTAAAGGAATGACACCTAAATAAGTAAATAAACATATATATATATATGCACATATCGAGTAATTCAAAGTAGAGAATATTGTAGGAAATATGAAATGATGCAGAAGGCTGAGAAGTTTGAAAAGAACTATAAGATATGTAATGTAGGTGGAGAGAAAAGGAAAAGATATCGCCAAAGACATACGTAACAAGTAGCAGAACAAAAGAAAATACCTTTCACAAACCCGCGAAACAAGGTTCAGGAATGGAGACAGAACCGCTTGAACAGAATCAAAGACGAAGTTGTTACATGTCCTGTGTGCAGCTACGAAACAAAGAAATACAAACAAGCCCAGCACGAAGCCTTACAAACACCAGAACTACTTGCAAAAGCTAAACGATCCAGACTTTGAGAAAGATGTTCCGGAACCAGACATAGTCAGAGTGATTGCCGGAAAAAAGGCAATTCAGGAACATGAGTGTGTATGCGGGCAAGACATTTTCACAAGCCGCCACGTTTGAAACCAGAGACAACAGCACAGAGTGACACCCAGCCATCATTCGCTACTTTATTAGAGACGTATCCAGAGGACCAGAAGGCTCAGGAAGGCAAGACGCTCATTCGCGCGGCGCCTCGGAGCCCTCTGGGTTCGGGGGTTCAGGGCTTAGGGTGTGGTGGGTGCCGGGGATTTGGGATGATGTGTGGTTCTTGGTGCTGCAGGCGCCTTTTTTTTTTTTTTTGTGGGGGGGGGGGGGGAGGAGTTGAAGCCTGGAAGTAGCCATGAGATGGACAATTGCTTCTGCCCTCTGCTCAGAGCTTGGGGAAATGCCCGGCGCCCGACACAGAAAGCCGGAGAGCTTCAACCCATAGTTCCGAACCCTAAGCCCGAAGCCCGCAAAAACCCCGCGGATGGCGAAGCACAGGCAAAGCCGATGTCGTTGAGCTGCTTTGCCGTCGATCCCCCGCAAACTACAAAGAACATGCGTACCCTATAGCTTCTCTTGGCCGAATTCGGTAGTTTGACAAAGTGCCAAAGTCCTGCGAGGCCAATGGATAGAGTGAGATACCCCCTAGCTTCTTAGATCCCCGCCCCCGCCCCCCCTTCCCCTAAACTCCCATGGCTCCATGGCCGCCTCAAAGCTCTCCCCGCTCCGGGCGCCGAATGTCCTGGGCTGGCCCGGGGTGCAGCTGGGGCAGGACTGCTTGGTGGCCCAGTGGTACCCTTGTACCTTTTTTTAGGTTTAGGGTTTAGGGTTTGGGGTTTGGGGTTTAGGGTTTAGGGTTTGGGGTTTAGGGTTTAGGGTTTGGGGTTTAGGGTTAGGGGTTCAAGCTTCCCTTGTAATGGACCCAACGGCAAGAAAAGGGTGCCCTGATTGTAAGATGGTTACTGTGTTCCCAGGGGACCAGGGGAGCCTGAGTATGGAGAAGACATCCCAAAGGTTCGATGGACTTGAATCCCAATTCAACGCTCTGTAGGCCCGTAGAGATTCGGCTTGTCTAGGGCCAGAGGACCCCAGATTGCAGTAACCAAATGTGCCCGGGCAGTGGGCCGGCAAAAGCCCGAAGGCCTCAACCCGCAAGCTCCGAAACCACACCAGCCCCAAAGCCTAGCAACCCTAAACCCCGTTAACCCAAGCCCCCCCGACTTCGGGGGTCTAGGGGCACCCTGAAGATCCCCAGCTGCGCCTCCAGAGGATGATCAGAAGGGCCGGGTGCTCCTGGCCTCAGAGGCGATGGGGCCTGGCGAGGCGCGGTCTTTGTAGCGGTTATAAGAGAAGGGAGGGTAGTTTAGGGTTCAGGGTGGCCCTCAAACCCCCGAAAACCCCACCTAAGCCAGGGAGGAATTCGGGGTTCTACAGTGGGGAGCTTGTTGGGGCCCCAGGTGCTGCTTCGCGAGGCGCCGTTGGTGCGGGTGCGTCTGGACACGTCCCCGGTGCGTGAGCAGCTGGAGGCCATGGAAGGCGGGGATTTTGGGGGTTTTTGTGGGGGTTTACGAGAATAGGGGGGACCCCTAGATTAGATGAAGGGAGTCGTATGTAGTATAGCTTTCTTTTAGGAAAGTCCAGGAAAGAGGGGTTTGGGGGTGCTTGGGCTTGTCGGTTTGGAGTGTGGAGCCGGCCTGAGAGCTGACGCCGAGAGGCTGCTGGGACTCGCCCCTGGGGTATCCTGCCATTTTCTACTGGGGCGCCCTGGCGACGCTCACCGCCGAGGAGGCGCCGAATTCCAACGGATCACTTTCCGCAAGCCTAAACGGTCAGGGGATTCGAGTGCCTTATGAGCCAAACCCATACCAAACCTCGTGCCCTAAATGCTCGGCTACACGGCTCAGTGAACCAAGAGGCCAAGCTCCAAACTCGTGGCCAGTCGACCCTTCCGAGTTCGGGCTCCGCAGAGCGCACTCCTTCGGCGGTCGGCGCAGCCCGCAGCCGAAAGTTGCCTGCCCTTTCCGACCCTCCCTCTAAACCCTATAAACCCTAAATAAACCCCAATTAAACCCTTTAAAGGCTCCCGCTCCTCTTAAGCTCCGCCAAGCCGGCGGTCTTGCTTCAGCCCCGCGAGGTCTCCGGCACCGCGGTGCCTTGGCAGGGCCTGTCCCAGGAAGAACAGGAGCTGCCACCCCAAAGCCCTAAACCCTAAACCCGAAACCCTAAACCCTAAACCCTAGACCCTAAACCCTAAACCCTAAACCCTAAGCTGCCCCCAAACCCTCTTTCTTGGGGGCCGGGAAAGGGGGGAGGGGGAGGGGGTGCTTCGAGGGGCGGAAAGCCTCTTTTTCCAGGACCTTGCGCTGCAGCTCTTCACGCCGCACGTGGAGGTTTCTTTGTGGTACTTTACTGTAGCTTTAGATCCTTACCTTTTTTGGGTTGCAGCTAAAAGTTTAATTTATAGCTACCCTCCTGAGTGCAGCCAAGGTTTGGGGAGTTGGGTCGAGGGGGGGGTGGCGGGGTGTAGGGCTTAGGGTTTGGGGTTTGGGGTTTAGGGCTTAGGGCTTAGGGTTTGGGGTTGAGGGTTTGGGGTTTGGGGCTTTAGGGTTTAGTGTTTAGGGGAGGAGTGGCATGGGTTGGGTTACCCTAAGGATCCGTGTCCTTATCCAGTATATGCTTGGGCCCAAGCGACTAGATACTATAGGGACATGGAATCCTTAGGGTTAGGCTTCTGGAAGTTGCTGTTGTGCATCTGTGGAAGCTTTGAAACTTCTTGCAACCTGGCAAGTGCCGAAACCTCCGAACCTTCAGAGCCGTGAACCCAGGACTATATCACACTACCCAACCCGAACAAGGCCATGGTAATCTGATCATGTCATATGATAATAATAACAACAATAAGACAATGGTCCATGAGATCCCGCGGAGGCCTCGGAGGGGACCGAGGAGCTCTGCAGAATGCTGTGGCCACATGGGGGTGGGCCGAAGGCGCGCAGACCTGTTCTTTTCTGCTCATGTTGGAGCTTGGTACTTTTCCGGACTTTTTGTGGGGTCCTCAATTATCTTTCTTCATTTCTTTGCACTTGGCTCTTCGAGATGGAGAACGCCTGCTGTGCTTCTAGGGGTTTGGGGTTTGGCAGATGTCGTTCGCGAGCTTAAGGCTTACTGGACCAGAGCTCAGGATACCATGCGTTCCGAGACCCCTGAGGCACTCGAGCTCCCTGAGAGGTGCAGAAGCTGGAGCGCCTGCTGCAGATCTGGATCTTCAACTGCCTGAGCCTGGGCGGGAAGGTCCGGGAGCTGGCGCTCCCGGCCCCTCGGCAGCTTTGGGGGGGCGCATTCCGGAGGCTTTCTTTCAGGGCTCTTCCTTGCTGAAGGGGAGTGTACTTGGAGGTTCATGGATGTTTATAAGAAGGAGGGTGACAAGTACCCCGAACAGGGTTCATAAGTATAGCTACCATATACTTATCCCCCTGCTTGTTATTGCCAATGAACCTCCAAGCAAGGCCCAAAGCGGGCGCGTTCTCGAGATTTCTCTAAAGTTTCTCAGGGCGCCATGAACTGCGCTTGTCCCCCTGATTCTTAGTAGGGAATGAGGGCATGAGGGCCCTATATGTACCCTATGTAAGGAGTGTATAGGTACCTCATTCCCTCATTCCCGACTCAGAACCAGCCAGTGCCAAGCCCAGGTTGCCGTGGCCATGTGCTCGCACTCCTGCGCGCCCAATGCCTTCTGGAACTTCTGCGGCAAAGCCGTGGAGCTGCGAGCCGGGGAAGCAATACCAGAAGGTTCCACCACCTAAGCCCTAAACGCTAACTCCTGAACCCTAAACCCTAAACCCTAACTCCTGAACCCTAAACCCTAAACCCTGAGCCCTAAACCCTAAACCCTAACTCAGGGATCCCCAAAACATCTCAGAACTCTTTGCATCTTCGGCTGGAGAGAGCTGCCACGGCTGCGCCTTTGGGGTTTAACAGTGCCCCTCAGAATATCTTGACACCCTGACCACCCTGAACCTTACAAACCCGAAGCCCGATCAACCTTCATAGGGCTTGGGGTTTAGGGTTTAGGGTTTTTTGGGTTTTTTGGGTTTATAGGGTTTATAGGGTTTATAGGGTTTATAGGGTTTATAGGGTTTATAGGGTTTATAGGGTTTATAGGGTTTATAGGGTTTAGGGTTCAGGGTTTGTAGGGTTTAGGGTTTGTAGGGTTTAGAGCTACATCCTGAAGCCCTCAAGGTTCAAAAGCCCCCCCCCCCCCCCCCCTCGGGAGGTGCCGAGATCCTCATCTCCTACCTGCCCTCGGGGGACCTCTGCCTCCCCACGCCGGCACGCAGGGCCAAGCTGGAGAGGACGAAAGGCCCCTGCCGGGGGGCCTTTTAAAAGGGGGGTGGGTATGGTGCTTAGGGGCTTTTTAAGGGGGTGAGTGGGGTGTTTTTTGTGTTTTTGGGTAGTCTCCTAAATGAGAGTCCCTTTGTGGGTACCCATGATAAGGAGGCACCCTTTTTGAAAGGGATCACAGAAAGGGAGCCTGATTTAGAGAACTACCCATATCACAATCTAATGATGTGACGGGGTTCGGGGTTTGGTCAAAGGACCAGAACCCAGAAGCATACCGTGGCACGAAGTGATAGGAGGTGGAAGCCATGTTCTGACTTGACAATCAGGTGCCTTTGCCTCGCTTTGGCAACGTCGTGTGGCGTCCTGTCGGGCTCAAGCTTTCTGCTGCAGCTGACGCAAACTTGCCCTACCCGCCTAGCCTCACCCGGAAAGTCGTGCAAAACGCAATGGCGAAGTGGGTCTACAACTTCGGTGCCGGAGATGCAGATGGCCGCGCGGAGATGAAGAACCTGGGCAGTGCACAGTACAGGTCTCGAAGCATTATGCGGGCAGGGCACTCCCAATTCTTCAAATGCCCATGCTCCGGGATGAATGCCACTGTACCATACTGTGCGCAGTTCTGTAAAATCAGGAAACCATGAGACTGTCAGTTTGAGAGATCCAACGCCCGAAGCTCTAGGCCCTAGAGCTTGCATCCTGAACTCACAACCTCCTGAATCCTTGATCATGAAACCCTAAGCCCTAAAGCCCAACCCTGGACCCTAAACCCTCTCCAGGAGCCCCTAAACCCTGCTCCTTGAACCCTATACAGCATTCCCAAGCTCAGGAACTTGCTCGGCGGCAAGGGTGCCAACCTGGCGGAGATGGCCTCCATCGGACTCCCGGTGCCGCCGGGCTTCACCTTGACCACCGAGGTGGGGGGGGGGGGTGGTGGAGGGGGGCGGCGGCTTCTCGATAGGGTTTAGGCTTTAGGGTTTAGGGTTTAGGGTTTAGGGTTTAGGCTTTAGGGTTGAGGGTTTAGGGGTTCCTTTTCGAGGGCAGTTGCCTTAAGGGCAATCGAGGTGACGGGTTGTGCTTTGGGGTATCACACGCTTCTCGGATGGTAAGGGTAATTGTAAGACCTTGAGACCAGGTGTGCGCCAGCTTCTATGAGAAGAACTGCACCTACCCCAAAGAGCTCGCGGATCAAGTGGCCCAGTCTCTGGCCCTTGTGGAGGCCGCCCGCTCGCAGTCTCCATTGTCTTGTCCAGTAATTAGACATGAACCTTGTAACAACCATGGTGCAGCACAGAAACCAAAGCCACATGATCCCTGGGAAAGGCCCGCACGGGACGGAAGTTTGGCGACGCTTCGAACCCGCTGCTGGTGTCGGTGCGATCCGGAGCTCGTGCATCCATGCCTGGCATGATGGACACGGTTCCGCGACTGCGTGAGAAGCCACACTAGCCTCCGCTCCTTTTGGAGATGTCATGTCATCCACAGAGTCACATCCTGACGCCACACAAGTTGAGCGCATGGAGCTGAGCACCTCAACCCTAAAGCCTAAAGCCTAAAGCCTAAAGCCTAAAGCCTAAAGCCTAAAGCCTAAAGCCTAAAGCCTAAAGCCTAAAGCCTAAAGCATAAAGCCTAACGCCTAAAGCCTAAAGCCTAAAACCCTAAACCCGAACGCCCTGAACCCTAAGCCCTAAGCCAAGGTGCTGAATCTGGGCCTCAACGATCAAACGGTCGAAGCCTTGGCCAAGCAGGCCAACGACCGCCGCTTCGCCTTTGACAGCTATCGGAGGCGTCGGCTTGAGCATCATGTTGCAACGGTTTAAAGGTTTAGGGTTTACCCTGCTTTCAAGCAGGGGCGGGGGGAAAAATAAACCACAGGTTTGTGCAGATGTACTCGGATGTGGTTCTGGGTATGGAGCTGCACAACTTCGAGAAGCTGCTGGAGCCTGGGTTGCGGACAGCAGAACGAAGCTGTTGGTAAGCACCACAAAGAGATAGCTGTCATTTCAAGGGGACGATCTTGTTCACTCATTTTGGCTGCTTAAAGGGATGGAGCTCAGGAGCGGGCCAAGCAGCGCCGTGGAGTCAAGAACGACCACGAGCTTCTGCCAGAGGATTTGGAGAGGCTGGTGAAGGACTCTTGGCTTTCCACCAAGTGTCCAAGTCTAGCACGTCTGGGCCAACTACACCAGGTACAAAACAAGCAACCTGAAGTCAATCAAGTCAGCTCAGCATTGCGAGTGTAACCCCGGCAAAAAGGAACTAAAAACACCAGCCGAGGACTACAAGGCCACGGTGCAGCTGGAGATGGGCGAGAGCTTCCCGGAGGACCCACAGAAGCAGCTCTGGGGCGCCATCGGGGCCGTCTTCAACTCCTGGATGAACCAGCGTGCCAAGACCTACAGGCACTTTTCTTTTTTTTTTTGGGGTGGGGGGAGGGATGGAATTTCTGCGCGATGTTTCTAAATCAGGCTGTGTTTTTCGAAATTTGCAACAGAGAGCAATCTCAGCAGTAACATAATTTCTTGCTTGAGCTTGTGGCGCCGCGTGTTTTTTTTTGTTTTGCGTTGCCTACCGCATCTGCAAGGCAGCTCCACGACATTCCAGAGTCCTGGGGAACGGCAGTGAACGTGCAGGCCTAGCTAGCCCCCCATCGTTTGCATGGGGTCTGACAGGGTAGCTTCAGATGCTTAGGGGGTTTAGGGTTTAGGGTTTAGGGTTTAGCTTCAAATCCGTAAGTGTGCGGCAAGTACCTACAGTACAGTTTTCTTTTCGTCCCTCTCGGAATGTTCCGAAAACTTGGGCCCTTCATCAGTGAGATTTGTTTGCCTTAACTTGGTAAAGGAGTTACAATATTAGAAAGTATGATCACCGTTGAGCAAGGCAGTTTTCTTGGGTCTTTTGATTCCTCTTTGGCGCTTGATTCTGCAGATCTTGTCTGTCCCTATCTTAAATGTCCATGCTTGGGCTTGTTGCCACTGTTCTCCTCAGCTTAAAATCAAGAATCGTTTTCAAGGTGCAAATATTTTTTACATACGCTGATGACAGAAATCAGGGCTTTCTCCTTTCAACGTGCGGATGAGTGCCTGCGAACGCTTGGCGCGTGTCGAGCAGCTTCCTGCGTTTGCACTTGTATGATCGTGAAACCGAGTTCTCTCATCGGTGTTCGTACCTTCTGGATACTCCTGCGCGCAAGGTTAGCTTTGTCTCTCTTACTCCAGTTTTCGTGGCCTGTGCAAAGATTCCCCTGAAGCACAAGCTGAAGGCTTTGGATGCGGCCATCAACATGCGAAAGCGAATCTCCCTGGCAAGCTTCATCGCAAGATCATGCGCGGACAGCGTCCCCTGATGTTGCCTGCTTCTGTGCTGGTGCTTTGTTCCGCTGAATGAAAGCTTTCCTTTACTTCTGGAACCTGAAGTCCGACTTTGCAAAGGAAGACCTTTTTTGTGGCACGTGTTTCTGCAACCTCGGAACCAGTTCGACACAGCTGTCAACGTGCTGCGCAATTGAGTGCTCGCCCCAGCGCCCCTAAAGCCGTTGTCTCTTGTCCGTTCTTCGACAGATTAATGGCCTGATCATGTTACGCGGTCGCGCGGCCACCGCCTTATAGAGGGTGGCAATCTCGCGCCTGCAACGCCTGTTCGCCCCCTGCAGAAAAAAACTGGCCTGGCCCTTTGTGGAATCCTCCTAATTCCTATGACCGTCGAGTGCCCAGTTCACTGGGTCCGGGAAAGTTCCTGGTCTTTCGATGGGATGAATCCCTTCCTCAGTTGTCCGGGACGTACATTGGTTTAAGTCCGGTTTCCCCTCTGTGTTGGGTTTCGGGTCTCCATGAATGACCTTGTACGCTCGCCAGCCGCAGAGTAGCATGCAAGGCTTGTTCAGTGGGTGATGTGAGAGTCGCCCCTCCTCGTGGAGCCTGTGCCCTTCTCTCCTGGGAAGTTTGTTGAGTAGTCAACGATCTCGTTAAGTCCACTAAGTGTGAAGGCAATGGTCTTTGGCAACATGGGCAATGACTGCGCGACGGGCGTGGCCTTCACCAGGATGGGGGGCGGGGTTGATCTGATTTTGTTTGGCTAGTTAAGTGATTTAAGTGCCGGTAGCAGAGCCTCTTGACAAATGGAGCTCTTGCGGGCCAAGTTGATGCTTCTTCGCTTCCGTTTGGTGCTTCTGCTTCGAGTCAGGAACCCATCAAACGGGGCAAACGACTTCTACGGCGAGTTCCTGGTGAATGCGCAGGGTGAGGACGTTGTGGCCGGGATCCGCACGCCCCAAGAGCTGACGATCAAGGCGCGCAAGTCCCACGGCAGCGACCTTCCATCCTTGGAAGAAGTGATGCCTGGCATCTTCAAAGAGCTGAGCACCGTGCGGAAGCAGCTGGAGGCACATTACACCGACATGCAGGACAGGACTTGCTTTGCCTGGCATCCTGCTTGCCTCCCATCTTGCTGGCACGTGGCATGGGTTCTGCCTGTAGGACATCGAGTTTACCATCCAGCAAGGCAAGATACGCGTTTGTCATTCGCACGTTGTAGACACCCGTGTTGCAGTGCACTTTTCGTTGCTTCAAGTGTCGACGTGTATGTAAGTATGAAAGATCGACAGGCAAGCTCTACATGCTCCAGACACGCACCGGCAAGAGAACCGCACACGCAGCCTTGCAGATCGCTGTGGACATGGCCAACGAAGGTGGGCGGGCCGAGCCATTGCAGGGCGATTTTGCTGTGGACATTGTAGTGTAAACTGTAAACGTTACGCTGCCCGTTGCCGGGAACCGTGTGTCATGTTAAATTTCTGGCGCCGAGCGAAGGTCTGATCTCCAAGTCTCAAGCTTTGATGCGCCTGAAGCCGGATTTGATCGATCAGCTATTGCACCCGACGCTGGACCCCAAAGCCAAGAAGCAGGTGGGCTAAGGACAAGCATGGACAAGCGATAACACGAAAATGGCAAAACTAGGGTTTGAGAACATAACTTCGTGAACCAGGATCCATTGCCACATACTTGCAAGACGAAGTGCAGGTCACGGCTTCATACCGGAACCCTAAACTCCAATGCCATCGCTTCACACGACGTAAGTTTCCACTCTCAGTACTAAGTTGCCACGAACTGGCATCGCCAGCAGTAAGTACTGTTAAGCAGGGAAAATGATACAATACATAAAGAAGAAGCCGATGATGCGAGTTGAGGCCAAGGAAATCGATACGGAGTTGTCACGCATCCCCAGGTGATCGCCAAGGGCCTCCCCGCCTCACCTGGTGCGGCGGTCGGCAAGGTGGTCTTCACAGCCGACGAGGCCGTGAGGCGTTCCAAGGATGGCGAGAAGGTGTTGCTGGTGCGGATCGAGACGAGCCCCGATGACATCCACGGACTGCACGCAGCCGAGGGAGTGCTGACCACCCGAGGAGGCGCGCCGGTGTGTGATCTCAGCGGGTCTCCTTCCCCTGCCATACCCGCAGCAGCTCTCCTCTCCATGATCCCCCCCACATTTAAAAGGCAAGGTGTGCTGCGCATGCGCGCCCGAGGCATGACAAGCCACGCAGCCGTGGTGGCACGTGGCATGGGCCGCCCCTGTGTGGCTGGGGCTGGTGATGTGCGGGTGGACTATGCGGCCAACAAGTTCAGCGTCGGGGGCGTCACCGTTCAGGAGGGGCAGCTCCTGACCATCGATGGAGTTTCAGGGGAGGTCATTTTGGGAGAAGTGCCCACGGTGGCACCTCAACTCTCCGGCTCCTTCGGCACCATCATGTCATGGGCGGACGACTTCCGCAGCTTGCAGGTCAGGGCCAACGCAGAGACGCCAGCGGATGCACGACAGGCCAAGTCCTTCGGCGCCCAGGGCATTGGCCTGGTGAGAACGGAGCACATGTTCTTCGAAGGTGGCCGGATAGTGTCCCGCCTGCAACTGCTGTAGTTGTTGGTGACTACCGGGGTTCAGTCCTGATGGCACTCTGTGCTTTTGATTTTGACACACGGCGATGCCCTTTTCATATGTCATGGCGCACGCGTGGCCTTCGGGAGTTTCGGTAGTGACTTCTCAAAGCTTGCAGCGTGCGGGGTTTTCCATTCCAGCACAGGTGGCCATGCGACAGATGATCCTGGCCGCGGACGAGAACGATCGCAAAGCGGCACTGGACAAGCTGCTTGTGATGCAGCGGGAGGACGAATCTTCGTAATCCGGGGGCCCGGAGCAGTTGGCAGTTGGCAGGCATAAGTAGGGCCCACAGCTGCGTAGTGACTTCACGTGAAGCGTGGTTTCGGGACTGCAGCTTTGTCTGCATCCTTCATATGGAGACATCTGGTAGCATTCCAGGACATCGTGGAACTTTTTCGGATCATGGATGGCCTGCCTGTAACGGTGCGTCTGCTGGACCCGCCCCTGCACGAGTTCATCCCCCACAGCGAGTCGGAGATGGCCTCCGTTGCCCGCGCAGCCGGTGTGCCGCTGGAGCGCGTTCGGCGCCGCGCCACCGAGCTGAAGGAGGCCAACTCCACTCAATCATTGTTGGTGAAGTCGTGGTCGTGGTGGTCGTGGTGGTCGTGGTGGTCGTGGTGGTCGTGGTGGTCGTGGTGGTCGTGGTGGTCGTGGTGGTCGTGGTGGTCGTGGTGGTCGTGGTCGTCGTGGTCGTCGTGGTCGTCGTGGTCGTCGTGGTCGTCGTGGTCGTCGTGGTCGTGGTCGTGGTCGTGGTCTTGCTTGCCTTCATGAGAGGCCAACCCCATGCTTGGCCATCGCGGCTGCCGGCTGGCCATCACTTATCCGGAGATCTGCGAAATGCAGACCCGTGCTATCTTGGAGGCTGCCGCTGAGGTGGGACGTAGCACCAGCAAGCAGCCCGTGGCAGAGATTATGGTGCCACTGGTCTCTACACTGGAGGAGTTCGAACTCCTGAAGTCTGTGATCGAGAAAACGGCGGCCGCAGTGCAGAAGGAGCAGGGCGTGACCTTGAAGTACCACGTGGGCACCATGATCGAGCTGCCCCGTGCCTGTTTGCAGGCAGGCAAGCTGGCTGAGCAGGCCGAATTCTTTAGCTTTGGTACCAATGACCTGACCCAAACAACTTACGGTCTGAGTCGTGACGACGCTGGCTCCTTCTTGCCGGATTACAAAGAGAAGGGCATCGTAGAGCAGGACAGACTCTTCCATAGATTGTGTCAGTATTTTATCCTATCTTGAAAGAAGAGAAACATCATCGCTCGGAATCAACCCTGCACCCCCAAATTTGGACTGAGAGGACCCCTTCGTCAGCCTGGACCAGGCAGGCGTCGGGGAGCTCATCAACATGGCCGTGGGGCGTGGGCGCACTGCACGCCAGGGCATGAAGATGGGAATCTGCGGCGAGCACGGAGGTGACCCTGCCTCCATCGAGTTCTGCAACAAAGCCGGCCTCGACTACGTGAGCTGCTCGCCCTTCCGTGTGCCCGTGGCGCGGCTGGCTGCTGCGCAGGCCGCTCTCAAGGACAAGGGCGAGAAGGCCCTGCAGGCGTCCACCAAGGCCACCAAGCCCAGGAACCCGGCCTTTGGCCCATGGTGAGCGGGGTATCGATGTTTGCAGTAAGCAGCATGTTAGGTTTTTTTCTGCGGATGCAGGTGATTCTTGGACCCTCTGCTGAAAATCCATGGCACAGAATGGATGGAAGCATGGTCGGGCACTCTTGCCTTAGTTTTGGGCTGTGGCATGCGACGCGTCGCGGTTCCGCAGCAGATGGCTCGCTCAACAGTGGCAGGAGTCATCTTGGGCATTCAGCCAACTTTTAACCGTTTAAACACAGGTTTCGGCACAATCTTTGAAGCCGTTGTGCCGGCTAAAGCAGCGCCTGCCAGCATTGGCAAAATTGAAACCTGTCCGCAGCCGTTCAAGAGCGCAGTCATAGCCAGGCGTTCCCACGCACACCCACTCACAGCACAAACGCCCGGGCGAACATCCCCGCAAACACCCGCGTAAACCTCTGCACACCCAGTCGCAGGCTTCGTTTGCAACTGCGAGCGCTGCTCGGCGACCTTGGATGACACCCGTGCGCCTTGGTTGCATCACGGGTTTGGGGCCTCGAAATGCAAAGAAGCCCAAACAGTCAGAGTTTGCAGCCTGACATCTCCCCAATGTAGGGCTAGCCCATTTTCGCGGCAGCCTTTGCGGACGAGGAACCCTTAACCCTAAAGCCTAACTACTAAGCCCTAAACCCTGCATCCCTATAACACCACTGGCCAGGCTTTTGTTTGCCTGTGCTGCCGGGGCTTGGCCTTTGCGGCGACCTCCGCGTGCGCCGCGCGGAAGGATGCGGAAGGGACATTATTTTTCCACCCGAAAATTGTGGGTTTCTGAGTGAGTTCGTGTTGAAATCATATTGTTACATTAGTAGTTTAGTGTCATTATGATATGCGGGAGGAGGGGGGGAGCCTGCGGCAAGCTTTCAGTGGGGGCTGCCATTCATCTTGGTGGGAATGTCATGTGGGAGCACGCTAAACTCCAAACCCTAATGAAAACCCTAAACCCTAAACCCTCTTCAACGACTACTGTCAGTATGAGTTGTGAGGTGGTGCTCTCTTTGGTGTAGGTTCCATACCAGCAGGTCATTGCAAGGCCACTAAATACATGATGAAAAAACAAACTCTAAAACCCTAAACCCTAAACCCTAAACCCTGATCCCTGAACCCTTAACCCTAGACCCTAAACCCTAAACCCTAAGCGACTTCGGGGAAAGGATTTTGGGGCATTTGGGTTCGGGGCTGTTGTCCGGGGGTCGCCTGGAGAGCAAGTCATTTTACTCTCCTTCAACCATCTGTGTATGTATATGCATATGACTAAATCAGTGAGTTCAGGGTTTGGGTTTAAGGGTTTGAGGTTTAGGGTGCGCTATGCGTCATCTTTATGTCTTCCAGTCTGTCAGTCTGTCGGTCAGTCAGTGATTTGTTCAAGTCTGTGTGGAATTGTAAGAATGGAGGCGTACCACCGGATTCTGACTTGCATCATTGGATACCCTCAATCCTAAACCCTGAGCCCTAAGCCCTAAACCCTGAACCCTTGCCCTAAACCCTGAACCCTAAACCCTAAACCCTAAAACAACACAGAGCCGCAGCCCAGGTCTACGACTTCGGGAACCAGAGCCTCGTTGACGGCACTGCGTTTCCGAAGCTGGCCGGTGCAGTCGCACCTCGACAAGAGGTGTCGCTTGAACTAGGGATCCCCTCTTTGGGTTAGGGTTTAGGGTTTAGGGTTTAGGGTTTCGGGTTTAGGGTTTATAGGGTTTAGGGTTTAGGGTTGAGGTACCCATCACCATCTGGGGCCTGAGATTTTGCCAAAATTAGCGTGGGTGCTGGGACCTGTCTGGGCCTCATGGGCTGTTTCGGAAGTTTGAAGGTCCCGAACACGCTACTCAGGACCTCTAGGGCTTAGTGCTTAGTGCTTTTGGTTTAGGGTTTGGGGTTTAGGGCTTAGGGTTTAGGGCTTTGGGCTTAGGGTTTGGGGTTTAGGGCTTAGGGGCTCAGGGTCTAGGGTTTAAGGTTTAGGGCGGGCACGTGCTTCTGGCGCATACACACTGATCCTCCCCCCTCCCCCCCGCCCCGAACCTTGCAGCCTCGCGTCAAGAATGGAGAACCCCCTCCCCTTTCCTTTTTCAAAGCCGCACATACCAAAGTTGGCACGACTGCAAGCATTGCTTTGCCGATATCTCCTTTGCCCTTTGCATGTGCACGCTGGCCTCGAAGACACTCCCTCGCCCTTCGTTTGGTTTGCTTCGTAATCGCGAGTTCTGTCGCTTCACCTTGGGGTGCGGGGGGAACCCCCGGTGTGCTTTCAATTCGTTGAATTGGTGCGATGTCGAAACCCGAAACCCTCCTCCTTCCACCCAGTCCCCAGCACCTCGTAGTGAAGCACCTCACCAAACCCCTTCGCAGCAACCCTAAACCCTAAACCAACCCTAAACCCTAAACCCTAAACCCTGAACCCTGAACCCTAAACCCTAAACCCTAAACCCTAAACCCTAAACCCTAAACCCTAAACCCCAAACCCAAAACCCTAAACCCTATCCCTAATCCCCGAACCTTAAACCCCAAACCCCCAGCCCCAAACCTCTCCACGCGACTCTCTCAGGTGGAGCTTTGTTCCGCGCCGCCAGGCGCTCCTGGCATCGCCCCTCTCCCGCTATCATCTCTTTATTGCTTTGGGTTTAGGATTTAGGGTGTAGGGCTCAGGGTCGAGGGTTTTAGGGGTTTAGGGTTTAGGGTGTAGGGTTCAGGGTTCAGGGTCGAGGGTTTTGGGGGTTTTAGGGTTTGTTTTGGGCCACGAATAGGGCTGAAAGGGTTGTCTACTCGGTGTATAGGGTTTCTTGGAGCGTTTCGAGAGTGTTGAGGATGCTTCGGTGGTGGAGGATCCTAGTGCAGAAGTACTAAACCCTAAGCCCTAAGCCTTAAACTCAAAAGCTCCTAAACCCAGCAGCCTGCCTCGGCCCGACACAGGCACGAAGGCCTTGGTGAGGGCACTTCACCCCAGCAAAACTGCAGAATCCCGAGCAAAAGGCGCGTCGGCACCCTCAAGGCACGAGGGTTTTCTGCGCACCGGTGACCTCTCAGAAGCCCCGTCGTTCCCAAACCACCCAAATCTTTTTTGGGAGGTCTGTGGGGAGTTCGGGGGCCCCCCTGCGGGTCCGGAGCGGGCGCCTTTGTCAAGGCTTTCGCAGCGTCTGGGACCGAGGCGACGTAGCACATACACAGCACGCAAATTCACATGTTCATGTTACTGTATGTATGTATGTATGTATGTATGTATGTATGCATGCAGGCACGCATGTGTATTTGCTGGCCCCAATGTACTCATCCCAACCGGCCCGAACCTTACTCGACGTGGGAATCGGCCCTTTCGGGGGATGGAGCTCGAGGTAGCTCTGGTGTAGCTCCGAAGCATCCATGGGTTTAGGGTTTAGGGTTTAGGGTTTAGGGTTTGGGGTTTAGGGTTTAGGGTTTGGGGTTTAGGGTTTAGGGTTTAGGGTGGAGGGCCAGCCCGGAAGGGCCCCCGAAAGACCTTTTCCACCTGAGGTTTGCGTTGACGGCTGCGGCAGCTTGAGCCTTGGAGGCCCTTGATGAACAAGTTTGAGGGTTGGGGTTTAATTAGGATTCGGGGTTGAGGGTTGAGGGTTTAAAGGGTTTAAGGCGTTTTAAGGAATTTACGAGTGCTAAGGGATTCGGGTTGAGGGTTCAGGCTTTAGTTCTCGGCTGTAGTAGGCGCTTAGAACCGAAGACGAAACTCTGCTTCAATGGCCCACCGCTACCCATCTGGAACCAGCGACCAAGACCCCTAAACCCTAAACCCGAAAACCCTAAACCCCAAACCGCCCAGGAACGAGGTTGAGTCTGCCTCCTTCCTGCTGTCGGAGCAAGATTTGAAGACGGTGCCTCCCCAGCTTTTTTTGATGGTGATTCACGGTGAGTCACGTCTTGTGAGGCCCGAACTTCCCAAAGGTTCAAGGTTTGTGGTTTCGGGTTTGGGGTTTTAGGGTTTCGGGTTTAGGGTTCAGGGTTTTAGGGTTTCGGGTTTGGGATTTAGGGCTCAGGGTTTTGGTTTAAGGTTTCGGGTTTAGTGTTTAGGGTGCGGAAAGCCGGAGGTCTTGCTGCCCTGTCCCAGCTTGCAGCGGGTGCTTGCTGGCATGGTGATGGGACAGGCGCGAGAGCATCATCACTCCCCTAGTATCTCTGCTGGGTTATGCTGGCCAAAGTAATCACCTGTCAACTCTAGATTTTCCGGTGATGCACCCCAAGCCCTAAACCCTAAACCCTAAACCCTAAACCCTAAACCCTAAACCCTAAACCCTAAACCCTAAACCCTAATCCCTAATCCCTAATCCCTAATCCCTAATCCCTAATCCCTAACCCAAACCCTAAACCCCAAGCCCTGAACGCTCAAGAACCCAACGCCGGAGCATCCTGGGCTTCATAAGTCTGAGGGTTGGGCATGGCAGCGAATCTAGCGCACGTGGGTATCAACAAGTTTAGGGTTTGGGGTTTAGGGTTTGGGGTTTAGGAGGTCTGTTCTCCACGTGCGGTTTTCATACGTTTTGTGTGGCGGGGGTGGGGGGGGGAGGTGGTCGAGACCCTGTGCAATGGGAGCGTGGCTTGGAGCACCATCTCTTCCGAGCCAGACAATTCAGGCTGAACTCGATGTGATATCAAGAGTGGCGGCTGATGGAACATGGAGCTTGAACTTGCTCCCCGAAGGAGACCGAGACAAGATCTACAACGACTTTTTCAAGATGAGCAAGAGGCTGTACTTGTGCAAGCAGAAGGGGGATTTCGGCGGAATAGAGGTAAAGGACTATTTCATCACAGACGAGACCTGGGCAGCGCGCCTCACTCCAGAAGGTGTCGCATTTCATCAGGCCCCAAAATCGTATCAATATGACCGACTAAAGCCCTTCGCTTTTGACGAGGACTTCAAGAATCGCTTGCAAAGGGTCACTGGAGTTCGCTTCTATTCGCTGCTGCTGTCAAACTCCGAGCACTGGGCCCGTTATCTAGCCGATGGTGCTTGGGTAAGCTACGTAG